GAAAAATACCTCATTTTCAGCATGCAACCTCAAATCAAAGAAAAACTCAAAATTTCTTCAAAAACCCCGAAACCCCGAAAACTCTATTTTCAGCAAAACCCAGCCAATAACAACCAACTTCAACAACTAATGAGTTTCTTGAACTCATTTGCATCCGAAAACAGCGAAGAATCTAGCTTCCCTTACCTCGGTGCAAGAATCCGAGCTCCGGGAAGAAGAGAACGATGAATCCAGGGATGAGACGACCCTGGGTAAGTGATGCTATAGGGATGGCGTGCCCCTGGCATAGTGTGAGATGAGTGAGGCAATTAACACATATCACTTATGTCTAGAGTGGCACGACCTTGAGGTGGCGTGACCATTGGCATAATGTTAATTGTAAGATTTGTGATGATTGTGATTGTGATGTGATTGTGGTTCCTCACACATATGACTAGGGATGAGACGACTCTGGGTAAGTGATGCTACAGGGATGGCATGCCCCCATGGCAGAGACTCCCAAGGAGTCCCCGCGCCCAGCACGACGAGGGTCGCGCTCAGCGTGGAACCAGAACCCCAAACCATGTCACATACTGTCAGCGAGCTCGACGCGGTCCATGTCACGCCCGACGTGGGCCATCCAGAGGCTCACCTTCTCAAGCTCGCCCGGCGCACACATCTTTGTGCCCGGCGGGATTGCCTAAAAGGAGCCTCCAGGTGGTCTCGCGCCCGGCATGAAGAACGACGCTCAGCACTTCAAATTCTCAAATTTAATTTAATACTTGCATGTTTCAAATCCTTTCATCTCCAACATATTCTTCCTTTAGATAATCCTAAATTGCTTTTGCCGATTTGAGAGTCATAATCCTGGTGAAAACATTTTGTGAAACACAGGTAAAGAGATAACTTTTTGCCTTTGCCTTCTTGATTTTCTTTTCTATGTGAATTTTTATTTGGGCTACGGTAGGATTGTCTGGCAACGCGGAAACATCATAATCTTCTTCTACGGCTTCCCAGAGATCTAAACCTTCTAGGTATGCCTCCATTCTCATCGCCCAAAGATCATAACTTTCTCCATCAAAAATAGGTGGGGAAATTTGTGAAAAGTTTGTTTCTGCTTCTATCTCCAAGATCGTAACCTTAGCTCTAGATACCACCGATGGGGTTATTTTGTGGTGTTTATCTGAAGAGATATTTTAGGAAGGTTGTTTTTATAAGATTATTACACAAACATACTCCACAATGATGAGATATTGTCCGTTTTGGGCCTTAGCCCTCATGGTTTTGCTTTTGGTCATCACCCAAAAGGCATCTCAATCATTAAATTATGTTTATGCTATATAAGTTGTTATTTCTTGTTTTATTTTATCGATGTGGGACTTGTTTGTATCCCAACAATCCTCCCCTCAAACAAGAGACCTAACCTTTCATGCAGCGGAATTTGTCTTTATATATCACATTATCATTATCATTATTTTTTTTATAAGGTTATTGGTTGTCACCGAGTCCAACCTACGACTCTGATATCACTGATGAGGTTATTTTATGATATTTATTTGAAGGCATATTTTATAAGAGTTATTTTTATCAGAGGAGCATAATCTAATTTTATTCACGAGTCTCTATTTATAGAGAAAATTTGCTATACAAAATAAAATACTGATACTATAATATTATAAAATAAGGAACTAAATCTTAAAATAATCAGAACAAATTAAATCTAAATATTTGAAATCTAAATAAAATATTCTTATAAAAAACTAACTTAATCTCCTAAAGATATTTAGGCATATTCCCAACAAGAATCATGGTCTAGATATCATGTTTATCCTTAGTTTGTTTCCCATTAGCCCCTAACTTATAATTTTGTTTTCGTCCTTTTCTTGTGATCATTCAAGGCCCATAAAACCATGCTAATTTTGGATTCAAGTTATTAACATTAGTTTTGGTCACAGTCATAATCCTCGAATTAGGGTTCACAATGCCCACTTTCACCGTCACCCAGCCACCGTCAACCTTCATTGTTGTTGGTATTATATTTGTAGTCTACTTTTGAATGACCACTTCAAAACCATTCATATCACATGACTCCACGCAATTTGATTGTTTATGATCATACTTTCCTCAATTAAAACAGATGACATAAAGCCCTTCATAATCTAATTTTAGAATATGACCTAAGACATTTTTCCAAGTTAACTTGCACACATATTCCCGCAAACCTACCACAAGATTGAATAGATGTTAATTAATTTGTCAATCTTCAACATAGTTCCTAACTTACTTCTCACCCTCCAGAGGAATTTGTCATATTGTACAGTTCAATAGGCAAGTTTGGAATGCAAATCCACACAACAACCTTATGAACTTGCTTTGTTGTCATGGTGAAAAAAGGTCTCCATCAGTGAACTACTATATAGTGGTTACCAATCATTCAAGGCTCTTCAAAAAAGAAATGTTTATAATCATCATTTTATACAAGAAAAAATTCTTGTGATTTATCAACAATAGATGACTGTAGCCTTTGCCCACTTCCTCTAAACCTTGTTATCAACCATTTTGTATATGACTTTCTTACCCATAACATTGATAGCAAGAGAATTTCTCCATGGTGTACACCATTCTTCAAACTTCTCTTGTGAAACATGAATAGTAGGACATGAATCTAACTCAAAATTTCCTTCACAAGCATCATTCTCCTTATATATTTCATCTTCTGGAACTTTCATCTCTTTCACAAGAGCATTAAAATTAATAGATACTCTTTGGTCACTAATTGATTAAAACCTCTCCCTTAAGAGATAAGGGAGCTTTCTCTACAATCATGGGATGACTTGAACACTTGTGTCCTTGTCAACCAACTCTAAGGCTATCTCATTCTCCATTGCATCATTTAAGATATCCATTTCATCCTTCGTTTTCAACTTCTTGGTACTATGCTTGTTAGAATCATCTTTCTTAGACACACTTTTCTCCAAAACCCTAGTAGAACCAACTCCTATCTTTCCTATTATTTTTTAGTGGGCTATAATTTTGTGGAGAAAACATAAACACTAAAAGGGAAGTTGAATAATGTGTATAAAAAACTCTCATGTCTTTCATAATGAAGTAGTAATGTTAGTTAGATGAACTGCGCGAAGAGCAGTCAGGTGAAACATTGGATATTTTTATACTAGTTCATCTCAACCATCGAGATTGCACCAAGTTCTCAATCTAACTAGATTGAGTTCCACTATCTTTAAACAAAGATACAAGTATTCTTTCTACAAGCCACTTCTGGCTCAACCTTAAGTGTTCTTTAACTTGTCTTTTCAAGCAACTACCTAAGTATTCTTAACAACAAGCCTCTCCAGGCTTAAAAATTAAGTATTCTTTTACAATCAAACCTCTCAAGGCTCAAAACAAGTATTCTTTTTTAGACATGCCTTTTTAGGCTCAACAACCAAGTATTATTTTACAGTCAAGCCTCTCTAGGCTCAAAACAAGTATCTTTTTCAATCAAGTCTCTCTAGACTTAAAAACAAGTATTATTTTCTAGACAAGTCTCTGCAAGTTCAACCTTATAACAATGATTATGGAAGTTATACAAATGTTGTGTTCATCTCACTTATACAACCAATACAAAACAATGAGTTTTTACAAGAAAGAATGAAGTTTATACACAATTGTATTTTTCAGAGAGTATATGCTTTTGTACAAGTGTATCAATATATGTATTCTCTCATCTTTCTTGAGCTTTAAATCTTTTTACATAGTAGCTCGGAGAAGATGACTGTTGCAATAGTTTAACTCACAAGCTTGTTTCGTCTGTCTTCATCTTTTCTTGTGATGACAGGTAATTGTTTGACTCATTTCATGTGAGCATTAAATACATATCACCAAATGATACCTCTTATCTGATCAAAGAGACTACTTATCAACTTTTCATATCAAACAGAACTTGCAAAAGCATTATTAACACAAAGTAGTTGTGGCAGTAACTTTATTTGTTTTTTTTTTTTTGTGATTTTAGAGATCTTGGTTTTAATGGAAAGCATGATTCTTCTTTTTTAATAGATTTGTGAATTCCAAGATAACTTTTTGGTTTAATCTATTAAGGAATAAAATATTAGTACAAACTTTGTCACTAGTCTCAATAAATAATAAGTATTTAATATATTTGAGACAAATTGTATGCTACATCAGATTTACATCGTCTTATAGACAATCTACATCTTACACTTTTTTTCTGATAAATATTTTTAAAGATATTTTTGAAGACGTTTTTGAAAATATTTTCTCTTATAAAAATATTTTGTTTGTTAATATTAAAACTTTAAACTCAAGAAATTTAATATCGTCTTTTGACTTAACAAATTTTTAACATAAAAGAAGGGGAAATTATAATATTTGTATCTCTTAAAGGAGAGGAGGGGAGAGTAATTTACTCATAAAACTAAGGTTAAAATAATCTTTTAGTTTCTATAATTTCATTATCTTTACCTTTTAATTCTTATAATTTAAAATAAATTCTTTTAATTTTAATATTTATATTTTTTTTAATATTTTTTTAGTTTCTACCATTAATTTCTTTATAATGTAATTTTTGAACATAAATTTAATTTCTTTATAATGTAATTTTTGAACATAAATTTATTAAATTTATGTGATGGTGTTGTATTTAATTTTGTAGATAGTAATGTGTCATTGAAATGACATTATGAAAAAATTAACGATAAGGATTAAAAGTATTACAAAATATAAGTATAATGATTTAAAATTTATTTTAATTATAAAGATTAAAAGATAAAAGTAAGTAAAATTATAAGAAAAAAACGACTTAAAAAAATTAATAAAGAAAAGTATTAAAACAAATTAATGATGATTTCGTGAGACATAACATAACATCATGAACCTTGCCAGAAAATCGTCCTCATGCACGCACGCTTCTTGATTTTGACAACAAAGTTAATGACCAACTAGAAAATTGCATTCGAAAGTAATGAATGAAGAAATTAGAAACGAAAATATACTCAAAATATTATAAATTTCACATTTCTCTTCTCTCTATATAAATAAACATTTGTTGTAAACATCACAATATTCTCACCAGATCCTAAGATAATGGCAAGCATTTCTAGCATTCCATCACACATAAAAGCTTGGGTTTATTCTGAATATGGGAACATAGAAGAGATTCTGAAATTTGATCCTAACGTAGCTATACCAGACATCAAGGAAGATCAGGTGCTCATCAAGGTTGTGGCTGCAGCCCTTAATCCTGTAGATTACAAAAGAGCTTTTGGCTATTTCAAGGACATTGGCTCTCCCTTACCTGTAAGAATATGATTTTATTATTATATTTGTGTCAGAATATATATATATATATATATATATATATACTTATTTATTTATTGAGAGAGGGAATACTAGTTATGTATGTGCTCATACTCTTAGATGAGATTAATAATTATTTTCGGAGTAGATACTTTGTGTCAATAGAATTTGATACACTTATTCTATATTATAATTCATATTTTATATTAAATTTTAATAATTTAATTGTTAAATTAAAATTTTTTAATATATAGATTAAACTTGTAAAATTTTAAAAAATTTAAAAATTATTTAATATTTCATTTTTTAAAAATATTTTAAATATTGATTTGAATTTATATAATAAAATATTAGGTGATTTTAATTTTTTTTTTGAAAATTTGCAATCTTAATTTATATATAATTTTTTTAATTTAATTATTAAATTATTGAAATTTGATATAAAATATAAGATATTGAGTAGAGTAAAACTTACTTTAGGCAAAAAATCATGTTTGAGATTAAATTTCATCAAATTAACCATGAAATTAAAATTTTTTAATATATAAATCAAGTTTATAAATTTAAAAATTAAAAATAAAAACTATATGATAATACTTTATTTTTTGTTTAGATTTACTTTAGGCAAAAACTCACGTTTGGTTAGACGAATTTTCCATTTTGTTTCATATGATAATTTATATTTTTTGATTATGCATTGTTAAATGTTGTGTTGGGTTTGGAAATTAAGACTGTTCCGGGGTACGACGTTGCTGGTGTGGTGGTGAAAGTGGGAAGTGAAGTGAGGAAATTCAAGGTTGGGGATGAAGTTTATGGTGATGTCAATGAGCATGCATTGAATGGTGCAAAGAGCATTGGAACTTTGGCAGAGTATACTGCTGCAGAAGAGAAAGTATTGGCTCACAAACCCTCCAATTTGAGCTTTATTGAAGCTGCTGCCATTCCTTTAGCCATCATCACTGCATATCAAGGACTTGAAAGAGTGGACTTTTCTGCTGGCAAATCTATTCTTGTTCTAGGTGGCGCTGGAGGAGTTGGAACTTTTATTATTCAGGTTTCATATCTTCTATCTCCATTGCTTCTGTCAAATACTCAAGTGCTACAATTATATGCATAATCTCATTCCTAAAGTCATTAGTACAATTAATTTGACAATTATTGAGAGATGTTCAAATCACATTATATGATCCTCCTATGACCCTTGTGCCACCAGTTTTATTTACACAAGTTCTGTATCATTATTATGTACAATATAATATTTATGAGTTAAATGATTTGTTGTGTACTTGGTTAATGATGTAGCTGGCCAAGCACGTTTTTGGGGCATCTAAGGTTGCAGCAACAGCTAGTACTGCTAAACTGGATTTGTTAAGGAACTTGGGAGCAGACCTTCCTATTGATTACACAAAGCAGAATTTTGAAGAACTGACAGAAAAGTTTGATGTAGTGTACGACACAGTAGGTCAGATATCGAACCTGGGAAATGAATTTTCTTATTTTATTTTATGAAAAAAAGTTATGATAACTTAATGCATTTAAATTGTTAGATTTGTAATAATAGATCAGATTGTGACACGTATATTGTACATGTATCACAATCTAATTTATTTTTATAAATTTAACGGTTTAAATGTATTAAGTTACCATAACTACCATGTTTTAAAGTTAAATAATCTGAATTCATTGAAACTGAAACTAAATTATTTGCTTTACAAGAAGTTAGTTTTTCTATGAATAACACAATATTAATATGTTATTGAACATTAAGACATGGTTGATTCCCAAAACAGGAGAGAGTGAGAAGGCACTGAAAGCTATAAAAGAAGGAGGCAAAGTTGTGGCAATAGTGCCACCTGCAACTGCTCCAGCTATCCTCTTCATACTCACTTCAGATGGTGCTGTGTTGGAGAAACTACAACCTTACTTAGAGAGTGGGAAGGTGAAGGCAGTTTTGGACCCTAAGAGTCCCTTTCCATTTTCTCAGACTGTGGAGGCATTTGCACACTTGAAGACTAATAGAGCTATTGGGAAAGTTGTCATAAACTCCATCCCATAAACACATCAATTTCTGCTTTGAGATCTGCTGTGTATACCCAATATATGAGTGATGATGAATAGAGAACACAGTAATTTGGATGTGTAAGTTGATGATAAAAGTCTATTTTAATACAAGTTTAGAAGGATTTTTAGAATTTTTCTTTCGAAAAATACTCATTATTTTCGATTGAAAATTTTTTAAAAATGTTTCTAACTTATATTTAAGGGACTCTAAATCTTTTAGAATTGCAGTTCTGATAGTTCATAGTTTGGTTGTGTTTTGGTTGCCAAAGAAATAATACATATGGCTGTGGAGGGGCATGACTTCTCTGCTCCATTTGAAGTTTGAACAGAGTATCTTTAAAAAATGTAAGTATATCGATGAAAGGAACCTTTTATATATGTTAAACAAAAACATTGTAACGATGAAAGATACTCCAGGAATCGATGAAAGATACTTCAGAAATGAAAAATAAAAAATAAAAAAAATAAAAACATTGTAAGTTGAAAATAGGCATATTAATTAGGATAAACTTTTTTACAAATATTTTAGAGAAAAAATAAAATAAATTTTTTTATAAGTTAAAACTAAATTCTATATATATATATTAAAGATTTTAGGAAATTTAATAGAATAGAACTTCTACAAATTAGTTTAAGCATAAATCAATTTTAATTTATAAAAAAATATATAATTTTATTTGTATTGTTCTCTCCTACAAATTCTTTCAAAAAAAATTTACCCAAACTATATTAAAAGAGGTTAGCACAATTAGCGAGATAGTTTGACACTTAAATTTTGTAACTAATTAAGTAAAGAGATTTGTTCCATAACTCTTAACATTTAACATTTGTTTGTTAATAACATCAACATGTATTGCGTGTTTCTTACTGAAAATGTATAAAATCATACAATTTATAAACGGGATATCTCTTATTATAACTGTTTTTAGTTTCTATTTTTATATAGATTATTTTTTCTTTTATTTTGTAAACTTCTTAAAATTATTTTTTCCTTCGGATAACTTCTCTCTCTTTCTAATTAAAAATTACAATAATTTTTCATAAAAGAAATTATTTTTTGTAATACAGAGGCGCGAAGTACCTTTTTTTTTTTACTAATAAATTAATAATAAGAAAAATTCTAAGCGGAAGTTTCTTTCTGAGACAGCTAATTAAACATAAAATTAGTATTAGACTTTATAAATGCAATGAGTAATTAGTTATTTAAAGAAAAAAAGTATGTTAATTAGAGATGATTAATTATTGTTAAATATGATAATAAAGATTAATTTAGTTTTTTGAAGTAAAAAGGAAAATTAATTTTTAACTCTCTAAAGCCACCCCCAATCCAACCCAACCCAAAACAATAGAGTATATTTTATAATTTTTTAATTTAATATAAAGTTTGAAAGAATAATACAACCTTATTAAATGGAAAGAATTTGAAATGTTAAGAGTTATGGAACAAATCTCTTTACTTAATTAGTTACAAAATTTAAGTGTCAAACTATCTCGCTAATTGTGCTAACCTCTTTTAATATAGTTTGGGTAAATTTTTTTTGAAAGAATTTGTAGGAGAGAACAATAAAAATAAAATTATATAATTTTTTATAAACTGTACCTGCACGAGGATACTCCGATAATTTTGCTACTCCTGTCGGGTCTTCGTCTTCCATGAGGTATCCTAGGGAAAGAGAGGGGTACCTGCAAAAGGCACTCCAATACTTAAGTCAGTCCTCGGTCTCAGAGATATCAATGCTAATCAAATTGGTAATTATCAAAACGTACCTCTCTTTGTCATTGGTCATACTTATTTATACTAACCTTGATGGGCCAGGCCCATATGCACTGCAGGCCCATAAGAGGATTCATTAATGATACGAGAAGTCTTCAATGTGATCGCGAGGAGTTATAGATTCTTCTAAGGTGCTTTCCCTAATATTCATACCATTATCCGGTATACATGCCTCCAGGGTTTCAAGGCTTTTTGATAAATATTAAAAAATGGAGAAATCCTAAAAAGAAATGTTTGCGGATCTTTTCTGCTGCTTTCTCTGATATTGTCGTCTTTCAATTAATGTGAGGCTGCTACTTTCAATCATACTTGGCCGAGGACTACCATATGTATATAAAACTTTGGCTTTCAAAACTTTTTCACCAAGGAATCTTTTATATGTGAGATTTCTCGCTTTTAAACGTTTGGCCGAAGACCAAAACGGTTTCCTTAATAAGATTCCTTTTAACTAAGAGCTGAGTAGGACCCTTGCCTTTGCTCTTTAAAAGATTCCTCTTAACTCCTTTGACCGAGGGCATAAATCAAGTAATTTTTGATTCTTTTTAACTCCTTTGACCGAGGGCATAAATCAAGCAATTTTTGATTTCTTTTAACTCCTTTTAATAATGTATAAAAACAGTTTTTAGGAGTTTTTCCTTGGCGAGGAGTCATAATTATTACAAGGGAACTTGGTAAGTTTTTAACCGAGGGGTTGTAAGCTTTTGGCCTTGACAAATTTTGGCCGAAGGGGCTTCAACACCTCGCTTTTGAATCACATCGTTTTCAATAAAATCGAGGACTTTTAATGTGAAGCCTAGCTTTTGCTAAGGTTTTTACGCAGTGGATTTTGACTGCGATGTCATAATATTATAACATTGAAGATTTTGATTAAAAGCCGAGGCCGAGGGGTCTAAAATGCTTAAAGTCGTGTTCAATGGATTATGTCTTCGGTTAATACATATTGATTTGTTTGAAGTTACTCTTGACCGAATGCGTCCCGGTCGAGGTACCATGTGTGTTGGACGTTATACTTCGGCTGAGGTCTTGAGTTGTTTTCCGTACTCGACCGAGTGTGTCTTCGGTCAAGGTTTTGATTCGTTTTTCACTCTCGACCGAGTGTGTCCTCGGTCAAGGTTTTTCACATACAATTGTGTCAGCTTCTCTAAGGACCACTTGATGTTGACAGGCAAGAAATGTGCACACTTGGTCAATCGATCAACTATCACCTAGATAGCATCATTATTCCTAGCCGACCTAGGCAACCCGATGATGAAATCCATAGTGATACTATCCCACTTCCATTCCAGAATCTCCATCTGCTGCATTAACCCACTCGACTTCTGATGCTCCACCTTTGCCTTTTGACAGGTCAGACAGGCCGTCACATATTCAGTTATCTCCCTCTTCATACCAGACCACCAGAAAGTATTCTTGAGGTCTTGGTACATCTTAGTCATACCCGGATGTATGCTAAGTCTACTCTTGTGGCCTTCCTCCAACACAGCTCTCCTTAGCTCAGCATCCTGAGGTAGGCAAATTCTGCCCTTGTACCTCAAGATTCCATCTCTGCCCAGCTCAAAACCAACAGCCTTCTCGGTACCAGCAAACCAAGAAGCTTCACCAGCTCAACATCTTGTAACTGCTTGAGTCCAACCTGCCTCAAGAACTCACTAGTTATGGTAATCGCCCCGCAACTAATGTGATCTTGAGCTAACTCCACACAGAGATTCAAATCTCTGAACTTCTCCACCAGCTCTAGCTCTTTCACCATCATACTAGACATGTGGATGGATTTCCTACTCAGCGCATCCGCCACAACATTGGCCTTACCAGGATGATACATCAACTGGAAGTCATAATCCTTTAGAAACTCCATCCACCGTCTTTGCCTCATGTTCAGCTCCTTCTGATCAAACAGGTATTTCAGACTCTTGTGATCACTGAAGACGCTGAACCGAGCACCATACAGGTAATGTCTCCATATCTTCAAGGCAAACACCACAACTACTAACTCCAAGTCATGAGTGGGATAATTCTTCTCATGGTTCTTCGGTTGCCTTGAAGCATATGCCACTACTTTCCTATTTTGCATTAGCACACACCCAAGACCCTGGTGAGAAGCATCATAATACACATCAAAGGGCTCATCAGAATCTGGCAACACCAGCACAGAAGAAGTAGTCAACCTCCTCTTCAGCTCATCAAAACTCCGCTCACAAGCATCTGTCCAAATGAACGGCTGCTCCCTCCTTGTCAACTAGGTTAGAGGCGCCACTATCTTGGAGAATCCCTTAATGAACCTTCGATAGTAACCCGCCAAACCCACAAAACTTCTAATATCAGTGACAGTTCTTGGATGCTCCCACTGCAACATCGACTCCACCTTAGCCAGATCAACAGCAATCCCCTCAGCTGAAATCACGTGGCCCAAGAACTTCACCTCATCCAACAAGAACTCACATTTTGAAAGCTTAGCGTACAGTATAATAATATAAATAATTAGTTATAATTAGCATATGTAATCTGGAAAAGGGGTTACACCTCTCAAATACAAAGGAAAAAATACACCTAAAATAAGAAATCAAACTATACAATGTATTTACAATATAGACTATGAGACTAAAAAGAGGAATCATACTCAGTACTCATATTGAGCATAGGTCTAAAAAGCAACTCCTCTGTAGAAGCCTCTTCTAGCCTCCTAACCATGGACCTAGTTAAAGGCCTAATGGTCTTCAAGGGTGAGTCTCCTTGGATCGACCTTCACCATTGTTACCCGAGGGGAAGGTTGCCCGGGGATGGCTGACAGTTGCATGGGAGGGGCACGCGTTCGTGGAGTTGTCGATGCATGATGTGAGGATGCCTCATTGTTGGGATACTCAGTCGTAGGGTTCCAAGTTCTGTTCAAGCTTCTCAATTCGGCATTTTCTCTCCTGAGTGCTTCAAGCTCCTGAGCATCTTTTTCTCGGGCTTGCTTGACAGCTGCTATTTCTTCACGAAGCATATTCACAGCATCTGAGAGATCAGTTTGATCTTCCACAGCAACCGGCCTCGAGTCCTGTTCGGGTTGAACCAAGTGGTTGTTGTTCCTAGTAGTGACCATCTTCTACAAAATCTTCTTCCTGCAAAAGAAATAAGCAATGCGGGCCTTCAAAACGGGCCCCACGGTAGGCGCCAAAATGTACCTGCATGAGGGTACTCCGATAATTTTGCTACTCCTGCCGGGTCTTCGTCTTCCATGATGTATCCTAGGGAAAGAGAGGGGTACCTGCAAAAGGCACTCCAATGCTTAAGTCAGTCCTCGGTCTCAGAGATATCAATGCTAATCAAATTGGTAATTATCAAAACGTACCTCTCTTTGTCACTGGTCATACTTATTTATACTAACCTTGATGGGCCAGGCCCATATGCAGGCCCATAAGAGGATCCATTAATGATACGAGAAGTCTTCAATGTGATCGCGAGGAGTTATACATTCTTCTAAGGTGCTTTCCCTAATATTCATACCATTATCCAGTATATAAACTAAAATTGATTTATGCTTAAACTAATTTGTAGAATATATACTTTTAT